GCAGGAGTAGCGCTGATGCATGGGAAGTCATATTGATGAGTTGACAAAAGATTTGTGTTGCGCTGATGAGCGCTGGACTCAGGGGAACTTTGAGACATTTTGTAATCATATTTCTGATAATACAAGCTGTGAAATTTGGTCCTCTTCTCATCTACCTTTGTCTATGACTTGAGACTATTGATCATTGTGTGTGAGGATGATACATGACATATACACACTTGCGTGAGATGGTCCGCAAGACCCATGCAAATTTTCCTAATTGGCCGAAATTTTTTCAGTTCGCAGACTGTCCAAAATCGTTTACCCCAGAACTGCAACTTCCGGGAAGTTCACTAACAACGGTGAACTCTCGGACCATAGGTGATCTCAACGGACACCTGATCTGCCAACAATTTAAATTTCGTATTTTAAATCATTCTTTATTCTTATTATTTATTATTTACGTATTATCTTCGAAATTAAATTGTTCGCGGGGGGAAAGGATCATCTTTTTCTTTTGATTAGGAGTCCAGTCCACATTGGGATAGGGGACTGCACGTTGATTGTTTGTTCTGTTTTTACCCCTGTTCCCACCCTCCCTGCCCTTTCCGTGCCTGTGAACACCGGGAGTTCCAAGTACCACATGAGCAGTGCTGATGTCGACGAAACAGGACATCGGGGCACTGCCACATCGCAGTGCCAGGATCGCAGTTCGTAGCCACACTGTGATACCTCCACGGCCTAAGTATCAGCAACAACGACGCAGAAGGCGAACGGCTCCAGCGGCATCCAGTACCAACGCAGCACCTGCAGTACCGGTCACCACAGGGGTCCTTTCCGCCTGTCCGGTCCAAGGGGACCACGAGACTTTGGCAGCTTACCTTCAGCGGGTGCAGGCATTTACGGATGCCGTAGCCGCAGCAAAGGCATAGCAAGAGGCAGCAGAAGTAGAACGTCAGCAGCTTGCCCAAGAGGTGGCGGCCCAAGCTCAGCGGACTGCTGAGGCTGACGCAACGGCTCGAGACAAGCGGAACGCCGCCAACACGGAATCCTTGATTCAGAATGAGAATAAGTGGACAACACTACTCCAAGGCATGATCTTTGTGCCCACGGACGAGTAGGCGGATCCGACACCGGCGGAGGCAGAAAGGAGTAAACTGGCTAACTTGATGTTTTGTATGACGAGGGCGGTAATGTGGAACAAGACGATGCAGACAGTGCACGAGCACACTGGACGGCAGCTAAGACAGACTCAGCAGAGAGAGTCTTCAACATTGACAGCCGCCATCCACGCAGCAACACAACACCAACAACAACAGCAACAGTTGTTGGCATCCACTATCACACGCGTCAACAGCACTGAGGCTAAGCCCTCAGCAGCGCCAGGCCGCACGACAGACATAGCGAAGCAGCTCGGAGAGCGCATCGACCATGTCGTCAACATCAACAGCGACCTGGGTGACTTTACCAGTCTGGCCACTATCAGCAGCACGGTGGCCGCCATCAAGACGAACATCACCAAACTGCAGTCACAACCGGAAGCCGCCGCGAAGACATTCAAGATGCCACGCTTCAACATCGCCAAGTTCGACGACTACAATGAAACGGATGCGTTAGCATAGTGGCAAGCCTTCGTCACCGAAGCTGCCTGACACCACGTACCAGACGACCTGATGATGACAGCACTCTACCTCGAACTCATTGGAGGAGCACAGCATTTGTGAACCACACGGCGGCCAATCTGGGAACCACCATCGCCGACCTGCACAAACACATCAGGTGGGAGCAACTTGAGCAAATGTGGCACACTCGATTCATGGTCCGAAACGTAGTGAAGGCGGCCATGAACGAGGTCTACTCCAGCTCGCAAGGGAACATGTCAACACGCGACTGGACAATCAAGTGGCAAAAGATAGTAACCACTCCCGGTTTCGGCTTAAGTTTTCCAAACCTGCGATCCGAATTCTTTTCGTGATCGTGTGGAGGACTGCGGTCGACATTTGGTAATGCATACGACTATGCCTCATTCAAGGCCATCCTTGACCGTGCTAACCTGGTTATCCAAACGGATGACAAGGCCGCCAACGAAAGGCAGTCCCAACCGCAATATGTGGCTAAGCAAGACTACAAGAGGCCGGCACAAAACTACGCGGTGATCATTGACGGATCACCCCATCTCCACGCTGCAGCAGCCTCCTCGAGTGATGGAGGAGTTGTCGTCGCGCTCCCGCCAAAGCGTCCTAAAATGGTTCGGAAGAACAAGGCGACACAAGGGATGACAACGACGGACGCTGGGCAGCAACCATGGACGGCATACAACATCACCAAGGAAGCTTTTGAACTTCGACAACGGTATGGATATTGTTCTTGGTGCAACAGTGTAAACCACACTACTGCACAATGCCCGGACAAGGGCAAGGCAAAGGTACCCCGTCCAGCTAACTCGGGAAACTGAGTTGCGCATGGAGAAAGGCGACGCCTCTCCACACTCTGTCGGAACCGGTTGCCTTGCTAACCACCGATATCACTACCGGGAAGCATGCGTTAGTCGCTGATTCTCGTGATACATACGAGGATTATGCCACCCAGCTGGTGCCACCATTGGACCAGCCTAGCCACGTGCACTTAGATAGTTTATGCGTAGCTTGTACACCGTCGGCAAGAGAACCGGTTAGTTCGCCACTTATTTCCGAGGACTCGATGCATGGTCAAGGCTTGAGGGCCTCGACCCGCTCACGAGAGAGGACTTCTCTTGGATGACTCTACCCTCAATCGGATCCTTGCCAAGGCTGCATTGTAACTCCTTGATGGCAGATCTACGCTCCTACTTGCACGCTGCAGTACCAGCTCCGTTGACGGACGTCGGAGTAGCGGTTGTCGATCTCCGCTCCTATCTTGCGAAGATTGACTGCGAGTACGCCACCCAAAGGTACATTGAGACCGACGCTCTTTTGCTCTATATCCGCATTCAAATCGGAAAGGCCACCTGCAGTGCCTTGATTGATTGCGGAGCGTCTCGCAACTTTATGGGCCAAGCCTTTATGGCCCACGAGGGCCTCGGCCCCTGCGTTGGAAGGAAGACGCAACCTACACAATCGGCGGTTCCCGACACTTAGTCCCATCGGCGGTTCCCGACACTTAGTCCCTACTACCATTGCTCTCCCTTTGGTCCCATGCATCCCCTTGCCCTCCGTTGTCTCGAACTCCAGTGCCCTGTCCGTCCTCAAGCTGTGCCCTTCCACGCGCGGGCCTCCGCGCTCGTTTCCCTGCTGCTAGCTCTTCCCTGCAGTTCCCAACCCGGGGTGTCGTTATTCTCGGCAGCTTAGTCCTTTGCTCTTTCTCTTCCCGTTCCTCCTTATTCCCGATTTCTCTACCGTGCACAAATTGGCTCTATGCAAGCTCTCGAGTGATAGAAAGTCATTCGGGACCCACCGGTCCCAACACATTCCCCCCACTCATTCTCGATATCCTCATCGCGCACTAGTCCATAGTCAGTAGGAGGATTCGGCGGGGGTAGACGGGAAAAAAAAAAAGGGGGKGGGGGGGGTAGGGTGAGACAAGTTAGCTTGCCAGGGTCCTCTTTGTCTTTTCCTGTTCCTTTCTCAGGGTTTCCTTTAGTTTCCGCCCCTTGGGGCGGAGGAGGGTGTGGAGGGTCGAGGGCCTCCTTCAGGCTTCCCTTTTCTCATCCCATGCCAGCCAGGTTCCTTTTTCGGCTACCATCATTCTCAATGCCTCTTTCATTTGGTTCTTCGGTCCGTGCAATCCATACTTTCTGCCATTCTCAATGCCTCTTCTATTCGGGTCCTTCGCCCTGTGCAATCCATGCTTTCCGTCGTTTTCAATGCCTCTTCTATTCGGGTTCTTCGACCCGTGCTATCCATGCTTTTCCGTTACTTTTTCCTTAAGCTAAATTCACATGCAATCCTCCCCTGCTATTTCGCCCGGCCTTTTCTCTAGTCCTGCCAATTTCGCATGCATCCCCCTTTTCCACCCTTTCTTGCATGCGGCTTAATTATCTTCACATGCGCATTACTTGGTCCTTTTCATGTGCATCTCTCTTCTCGGCATCTTGTCGGGCCCCCTTTTTCTCCCCCACTCGTGCGCAAAACTCCCCTCTCTCCTGCCCCGGCGCCTGCTTCCGGGTTCGGAATTTCCATGTTTCTTCGCCCCTCGGCACTCCTGACCTCCCCTTTTGTCATTTTAAGGCCGTTCTACCAGACCTTTTCGACCCTTCTCATGTCGCCCCCTTTAACTTTTTCTCAGTTTCCCTTAGTAGTTTTCTTTATCCGGGTTGGCTTGTCAAGGCTTTTCCCACCTTTTGTGCCTTCCTTGTCTTATGGCTTGTTTTGTCAGGCCATTTCTAGGTTTTATTCTTGATTGTGCTTTACACTCATCCAGTTTCTTATATATACACCCCTTGTCATGCTCTCGGTCAGGCTTTTCCATACATGGTTTCTTATTTGGCCTTTTGTCGACTCTTCTCAGTTCCCGCTTAACCCTTTCCAGCCATTTTTCGTAATCATTTCACCAGGCTCTCTTTTTGGCCCAGCTCAACCATTTCCAAAGCAATCTCCACAGTCATCTTGCCAGGCTCTCTTGTGGCCCAGCTCAACCATTTCCAAAGCAATCTCCACAGTTATCTTGCCAGGCTCTCTTGTGGCTTGGCTCCACCATTTCCAAAGCAGTTTCTTGTCTGCTCACTTTTGGGTCTCATTTCAAATGCACGCTTTGTCTTTGGGTGGATGGCACACCTTCCCCCCCCTCAATCGCGATGTCCTCATCGCGTCTCTGGTTCTCACTTGGAGGCACACATACCTTGCCTGCCAACTGAGTAAGCGGGTGCCGGCCCATCAGCCCCAAAAAGGAAGGGTGATCAGTCCTTCCCCTGCTGATAACTCACCTCACCCCTTACCCTAGTCCGGCGGCCTCTAGCTTGGAGATGGGCATCGTCATCGAGGTGCCTCCTCGCATCTGTAAGGCAGGTCTAGTCCCTACCTCCCAGGATCCCATCGTGCCCAAAAGTGCCCCCCTCGCGACTGGTCTCCCCAAGTGGTAATTTTTTTGTGGATCCAACCTCTTCCATTTCAACAGAGTTGGGGCTCTCGATCAGTTTGCGAGTGCAGTTACGAAGACCTCGCGGTTAGTCCCGGAACGGTTGTAAGGCTCCGGCGGGGCGGTGTCAATGCCCCATGGTAGTTGCGGCTCCACCCGGTACCTCGCCAGACCTCCCCCGTGGACGTGCCCCTCAGCTTAGCGCGAGTGGCCTAGGTCCTTTCCCAAACGGTCAGGCTGCCCCTCAACAACGTGGCGTGTGGTTGGAGAGGGTCATAAAGACTTAGAAGAGCAACTGTTCGGCCCATCTTGGCGCCCTGGACTTTTAGGAACTCGACATGAGGCGCAATTCGAACCCTCCGGCTAGAGCTCATTGCCGGAGCTGGTTCCGGATGTGCAGTATCGCATTGATACCTTGATCCTTTAACCTGTTATCCTGCTAATGAGGAACAGGTCACGCTTGGACATTTCCTTAAAGGATAGCGGTCCCGGGGTCGCGGCGCGAGCACCACTTTCCCCCTCATATCGGGCCCTGGGACTAGAAAAAGGTTGGAAGGCTCAATCTCTTGCTATTTCCATGGTCGGCCCGACGACCTTTCATCTTTTGCCTAGGGTCCCTTATGTATGCAATGCAATTTCCAATCCTCAAGCAAACATCCAATTCCAAGCTCTTTCCAAGTCTTTCACAAGGCTGATTCTCAAGGCTGATTCTCAAGGCTGATTCTCAAGGCTGATTCTCAAGGCTGATTCTCATGGCTGATCCGGCAGCCTCTTTTGAATCAAAGGCGGCATTCTCTTCTCATGGCTGATCCATCTGCCGCTTTCCTTTTCTCATGGCTGGCCCGACAGCCTTCCTTCTCAACTCATCTTGTTTCAATGACCGTCCCGACGGTCCCCTTCCCAACTTCCTTTTCTCAGTTTCTTTTATTTCGATGGCCGAGCCGACAACCTCTTTCTCAAGTCCTCCGCTTCAATGACCGTCCCGACGGTCTCTTTCCCAACTTCCTTTTCCAATGGTCGACCCGACAACATTCTTCTCAGTATGCCCATTACAATGACTGACCTGACGACCCTTTCTCAATATGTTTATTTCAATGACCAACCCGACGGCCTTTTCTCAATATGTCTATTTCAATGGCCGACCCGACGACCCTTTTCTTACTTATTCATAAGGCAGCCAATCCACAGTCAGCCATGCAAAGGGACCCCAGTGCCTATTTCCATAGAGACAACCCTAGTCAGGGGTTGTCTCCGAACAACCTGGTTAGGGTCGTTCTTCTTTTCCAATCTCATCTTTGAATAGCCTGGTTAGGGTCATTCCTTTTCCAAATCTCATCTTTAAATAATCTGGTTAGGGCCATTCCTTTTTCCAAATCTGATCCTTGAACAGCCTGGTNTTTTCCAAATCTGATCCTTGAACAGCCTGGTTAGGGTCATTCCTTTTTCCAAATCTGATCCTTGAACAGCCTGGTTAGGGTCATTCCTTTTCCAATTTCAGTACTGACGCCCGAGGGGATGGGCTTTGGGAGGCTCGAACCCAAATATCCCTTGGGGGTTAGGTGGTGGCCATCAGTTTTCAGAGTGTTATCTCTTCAAATTTTCCTTATCAAAGCTTTTTACTTGTCCCTTTCGTTCGCATGCATCCGACTTAGCGTCTAGTGTGCAGGCGGAAAACATCCAACCTTCGGCAACGCTAACCCGCCTAGCCGTTCAACCATAGACCCAGTGTCTCACATACTTTGCTCACTTCACTTCCCTGTCTTGCAACATGGCGTTGACTGGGTTGGATTAGGCTCCTAGGGAAAAGCATTGTCATGTCGTTCTACCCATAGGTTTCCTAACCTCTCTGACAATGTGCAACCGGACACTCAGACATATGACCATACATTTTCTTTTGAACTTATAGTCTTTGCAATCGACCCCACGTCAAGTCCCATGTCCGTCCATTACAACAGAAGTCGTCAAAATAACTTTACTTAAAGAAACAACACCCGGTGCTCATGTCTTAATCGATTTCCCGTCCAGCCTTGCAAAATTGTATTCTAAAAGTAGCTCCATACATAAAAAGTTGCTCTTTCCCCTTATCTCATCCTGCCCCGTGCCTCTTGACAAGTTCCAATCTAACAAATGTCTCTACATCCGACGGCTTGACAGAGTTCCTTAGCAGGGCCACAACAAAACGATAGAAGATCCAATTCATCTTGTCTACAAATCTCATGCCTTTCATGACCCACCCGACTATCCCAATTCTAGCCGCCCTTTGCTTTTGCCATCGCGTTCCCTTGCCAACCCGTTCTTAGTCCCTAGCACTCGAATCTGTCCTTCGGCGTTTAGCCCCTTTCTCGCTGCTGTCCCCCGAGGGTGGCTCCATGCCTAACCCATAAGTTCGAATCTCATCCCTCTTTTCCTTTGCCAACTGCATATCTTTTTCAGTGAAAAAGTCCAACGACGTAGGTGTCCTCCCTGCCGCCATCAACCTTTGTGCTTTGATCATCCACTCGTGCTTAACCATACTGGCCCATTGTTCAAACGAGTGACTGGGCATTGACCCAAATTCTTCCTCCCAATTGGTGGCTCCTTTATCCGGGGTTTTTGCCGGAGACTGCCTTTCCTCCCTTGGCCTTGATATCTCATCCGTCTCGTCCTCACTGCTTAGCACAATGACTTCTTGAGCCTCATCGTCCGGATAACTGTCATTTCCATCCTGCCTTTCCTTGTCATGATTGGCTTGCTTAGTTTTTTCCCCCTTCCCTTCCATTCTCTGCTCATCCTCCTCTTCTGACCAGGCCGGTAACACTTCGCCTTCTTTGGTGGGCGAGGGTTTACGGGCTGGCAACTTTCTCTTTCTTCTCCCTAGTGACGCTCTTGGCTGCGGCCCAATAACCAGGACCGGTCTTTGTCTATTTCGCGGTCTGTTTGGCTGCCTCCACGGATCCTCACAAGCGGCGTTTGCCTGGTTAATGTCATTTTCGTGATTGAACTCCATTTTGCTTGGGCTGTCTTCTGTGCTTGTAATCAATATCCAGAAAGAGAAAGCCCCAATGCACCCCCCCCCCCATTATGGAGTCCGTCCCAAGTCCAATCCTGTCTCATCTTTATGGCCACCCAGTTTCCCAAACATGTGGTTCCATCCCAAGTCTTGGTCACGTGTGCCCTCAAGCCCCCTTCATCCCGTTGGGTAGTCGTGGCATCTTGCCCTCGGAGATCTCCTCGTCCCCACCCTTATGATACAATGCCCATCCCTTGGCATCCATCCCTAGCGTCCCCACAAAAACTATGGTACAATGTTCTAACTGGATCCCATGCCCTTCCCATGCACACACACACGAAAGAAAGGAAAACAACAAAGGCAAAGAGAAACGCATGTGATAAGTAGAATCCTTGTCGCGGTACTGAGCGACCTATCCTTCGGCTTCCTTGTCCTGAGCTTCTTGTAGCCATTGCTCCACCGGATCCCTGCTGAGGAATCTGACCAACCGCTGCGCAGGGAACGGCCCTTTTATGCTGGTCCCATCCAAGTCCTCAACCTCAAAGGTGTTCAACCCCAATCTCTTAGTGATACGATAGGGCCCCTTGAATCTTCGCCCTAGCTGTCCTGACCATGTGCTTTCAGGTGCCGAATTCCTGACCAAAACCATTTCCCCCAATTGTAACGGCTCCTTCCTGATATTCTTCAGTTGGTCCCACCTGGTCTTATCCTTCATCCAACTATCGAGGACCCTGTTCACAATTTCCTCCAAGGCTTCCTCATTTTGTGCCACCTGCTCACATCTAGCCTCGATCAATTGTTCCGTAGTTAGGCGAGGGTTCTCCTCCAACTTGTTCCAGGTTGGTACTAGGGCTTCTACCGGAAAGTCGATTTCCCTTCCATACCATAATTCCGCCGGGATACATCCTGTGGTCCTTTTAGGAGTCACATTCTTGGCGAACACAACTTGCATGAGGTACTTGGGCCAATTCCCGACATCGTCCGCCGCCAACTTTGCGATCGTGTTTTTGAGCGTTTGATGCCCTTTTTCCACTGGCGCGTTGGCCTCCGGGTGGTATGGCTCGATCAATTTGAGGGGGGACCCCTAGCCTCCTGCAGGTGTTCAGAACGTCTTGATTCACGAACTCAGTCCCATTATCAGCTATGAATCTTCTGATGAATGGGTGCCTTAAGTAGAAATCCTCAACCCAGTCGGCCACGACCACCCCGGTTTTCTTCTTCAGCGCCACTGCTTCCACAAACCCACTAAGGTTGTCTCTAGCATCGAGTATATACCTGTACCCTTTGGTGGACACAGGCATGGCTGCAAGATCGAGGTGCACCATATGTCCCGGCCCCAGCACTCGCGTAGGCCTGAGCGACTCAAAAACCCGGGCCGTACTTCGTTCCTGGCAGATTCGGCAGGTCTAATAGTACGTGGCAACCATGGATCCCATTCCTGGCCAGTAGTAGAGAGGTGTTATTTTGGCCAAGGTCCCTTTCGAGGAACGATGCCCACCGGCCAACCCATCATGCATTGCCTGTACTATGTCCACTTGCCTCAGATCTCCCGCACACCACTCTTCTAGGGGTTAGGCCTTCCTCCCTCCGGAACAAGTGCCCTTTCCTTAGCACATACTTGTCCGCCTCTTCCCTAGCTTTATGACTGACTTTGTGGCCATCCTTGTTTCCTACCAACAACAGCCCAATCTCCCTAAAAATACCATCGTACGACTTGATGAGAAATAACTCCTCCTCCTGCCGGGAGCCCGGCTGAGCGTCGCACATTTGGTTGACCGCGTACTGTTGCTTTTCCTGTTCCCACGACTCCACCACGCTCATCACCCTTCTCCACCCGCCTTCTATAGCTAGTGCCATCCGTTCTTCCGAGGCTCCACAATACTACCCCAAGCGTCCTTCTCCTCCTTCTGTCCAACCCTGGTGACCACCCCTTCTCTGAGTTCTGCTACCATCGTGGGAGGCCCCTTTTCTAATGCTTTGATCAACAATTCTCCGGTCATGCAGGCGGTCCCGGCCATCTCATTATCCACCACCACAGTCCCTCCCTCGTGATCGAGGAATGCCTCGATCGACTCTGCTTCTTCTAGTCCCTACGGCGTAAGGCTCACCCTGCTCAGGCCGTCTGCTCAATTCCTAAGACCGGCAATGCGCTCAATCTCGTAGTCGAATTGCCAAATGAACCCTACCCATCTCCCCACGGTGGAATCGATAGGTCTATTGTTCTTTAAGGCTCCTGCGACATTGGTCGGATCTATCCTCAAGATGAACCTTCTCCCAAAGATATACGCCTCGAAGGTCTTGAGACAGTGGAGTATCGCAAACACCTCCTTCTTGAACTGAGAATAGCGACGCTCGACTGCGTTGAGCGTTTTACTCTCGAATCTAATGGGACACTCTCTCCCATCTTCGCCTTTCTGAATCAATACCCCACCCACGGCTAGTGGTCCCCCATCGGTTTCAAGCACGAAGGGGCGTCTTACTTCATCATTGAAGCACGGAGCAGCAAGGGTAACCTCTTCGGATGTCAGTATCTTCTTCAAGGTCTGGACGGCCGCCTCCCGGTCCTCGGTCTTGTCAAGCGTACCTTCCTCGCGGATCATGGCCCGAATAGGTTCTGCCATCTTCGCGAAGCCTTTTATAAAGATTCTCCAGAAGCCTACGACGCCCAGGAAGGCCCTCACTTCTGTTGTGGTTCGGAGGGGCGTAGGCCACTGAGCAATTTTGTCGTTCTTGGCCGGGCCTGGCTTCCTTTCGTAAGCTCCACAACGGAACCCCGAAATGGTGACTTCCGGGACTGCCAGGATACTCTTTGGACCACTAGCAATGATGTTATACTCCAGGAACCTTTGGAGCAGCTCTTTGATATCCTGTAGGTGGTCCCATACGAACTTTCTTACTCCTGGTTGGACCTTCGTCTCATCCTTTTCTCGCGCCCCTATTACGGGATTGTCATCGATATAGGGCTCGCACTTCGCAGGAAACATGTCCCCTGCAACCGCAAGCATCCTCCTTTCCGCTTCTGCTACTGCGTTGGTAAAACCCATGGGCGTGACCTGCATTTGCAGCTGGCCTACCGACGTGTGCATAGCTGTGTAGGGTCTGTCTCGGGCATCCAACGGAAGCTGATCATACCCCGAGTACAGATCTATCAACGAATAAATGCTACGTCTGGCATGGGATTCAGCCAGGAGATCCGCCAACAAATAGGGGGGCGCAGCGCTACCGGGAGGCGCTGCGCCCCGGCATCAGCCACGACAGAGTTCTAAGTTGGAGTGCAACATCGGGGTGATGGCAGGAGGTGGTGACTATCCAGCTGATATGTTCGGCGCGTAGCGCACGCGCAGGGCCTGGAGGCACTGGTCTAGGCCACGTCACTGGCTGACGTGGAGGATAGACCGACCCTCGATGGTTACTCGGGAGTTTCGAGTTTCGCCTCATCGCCGCTGCGGTTCTGCCCGTAGCATAGGGCCATGAGGCGTTGAGTTAGTCTGCGCCTGTGGAGCACAACGGAGTTAGCCCTTGGGACCTGAAGTGCGCGTGGGTTGTCATCCTCTTCAACGACATCATTGCACTGGAGCTGCTTGGAATCGTCATCATCTTCATCAACATGGCGAGCTCCGACAGCGTCACCATGGTAAGGGTTTCGTCATCATCGTCAGGATGCTGCTCGTCAAGGTACTGCTTGTCATCAGCATAGTTAGTAACATCGCATCACTAGTATCAGCAACAAGGTAAGTTCGCCAGGGTAGGGCTTTGTTTGTTAGCACCGTTATAATAGGGTTGTGCGTTACTACCACCAGTACTGCTGGCGCTGAGCGTCATCATCATTATTTTTACGACTAGCTTCATCATCAGTATTACCATCATTAATATTACACTGTCTTAGGGTGCTATAGGCAAAATTCGTCTGTCCATCCTCATCATCATCACCACTAATCCATAATCACAGGTGCGCCTTAGGGTGCCATAGGCAAAATTCGTCTGTCCTTCCTTATCATCATCATCACTAATCTATCATCACAAGTGTGCGTGGTTAGCACCATCACCATCCTTTGCCATCACAGGGCGCTGCGCGTCTTTATCATCACTATCATCTTTATCATCATTACCATCATCATAATCACCATCAACATCATATCATCCTCATCATCATTATTATCATCATCATTATCATTATATCATTATCATCATCATCATCATGATATCATGCTCATCATCATTATCATCATCAACATTATCATCATCAACCACCCTCATTATCATCATCAGTTCGTAATCATATGGCGCTGTTGCTGCGCCTCTTCAGCACGATCAGTGTGATCAGCACCATCATTCGGCTTTCATAGGGCGTAGTCGAGGCTGCTTAGCATTTAGTATCGGTATCATCATCCTTTTGTCCTCATTAGAGGTCGTTTTTCAATGCATCAATTCCAGGGTCTTGTCCAAAAAACGAAATCTCTCATCTATATTTTTTCCTTATAATTCTTAGTATTTTTTTCCCCTTCGGATGTCTTGACTTTTTTTGGAATTTTCATAATAAGCACTCTTGTTATTCCGGGTAGTTTGAAGAATCTCTCAGGATTCTGGGGGTGGTGGTTTGTACGAAGCTACACTGGAATTAGACTGTATATTCAGGACCCGTGGTTGTCCAATGCCAGAACGAAGCTGGCCGAAGCCGGGGTGATGCCCTGTGACTTGCCGAAGGTGAGGGCATGAGACCTCGTAGAGAGATCTGGGGATGCTATGCGGGGAGCATCCTAGGGGACAGTTGGGGGTTGCTGACATAGGACGACGTTGGTCGGAGCTGGAGTGAGTAGCGTTGCTCTGTAACCTAGCAGATAGGGGGCGTGAGGCCTGGATGAGTTTGTCAGAGAATAAGTCAGAATTGATGAGCTTTGTTATGATCTGTTAGAATTCCCCTAGATCCCTGAGCATTCAGAAAATTGCTGACGATTTCAGGAGGTGTTTAGCGGTTGTAAGAAATAGTTCTCTTATCATCTAGCCGTTGGGGAATGGGGGGGGGGGCGTCGGGGAGCCTTACTCTACAGGGGTGCTGCAAGGTGGGTGGTGGCTGCTCTGTCGGGGGTAGGGCAGATTTGGGGTTTGTTCTTGACTGGGGCCGGGATGGGAGAGTTGGTCGCCTTCAACCCCGGCTGGGGCAGATAGGGACAGAGGGGAGGGCGAAGGCAACATTTTCTCAATTCTTTGATTGGACTTTAATTATCTTCTCTCTCTTCGAACTATGTGGTGGAGGAGGTCGGCTTGTCGAAGGGAGATGGAAAATTGAAGTCCATTCTTAACCATATGGGTTTTGGGAGGTTGATTGTCTGCTGTTTCTTATCTTCCGAACTATGTGGTGGAGGAGGTCGGCTCGTCGGGAGATGAGGAAGAGTAGGGGGTTGCCAGGCATAGCAGGCAGGAAGCTAATTGTTCTCAGATTTGTTCAGATTTTTTGCCTGGACTGATTACTTTCTTCTCTCTCTTCGAACTATGTGGTGGAGGAGGTCGGCTCGTCGAAGGGAGATGGAAAGTTAAAGTCCATCCTTAATCATTACGAGATTTGGTGAGGTTGATTGGCTACTGTTTCTTGTCTTCCGAACTATGTGGTGGAGGAGGTCGGCTCGTCGGGAGATGAGGAAGAGTAGGGGGTTACCAGTAATAGTAGGCAGAAAATTAACTGTTCCTAGATTTGTTCAGATTTTCTTGAAATTCTAGGATCTCGTCAAAAGTTCTTAGACTCTTAGATTGATCCTAGCCGAAGCCAGGTAATGCCCCTGGTATTTCAAACCAAAAAACGTAGCTCCAATTAGACTTTTCTAGTAGTTCCTTGTCTTTTTTCATGTAAGTCTCTGATGAAATTTTCTGAATGTACTCGTGATGGGACGTTGAGCCAGGTTCCCAGTTTGTTCCAATCAGTAAGGAAATGGTTGTATCTATGGGACGCTGGACCCGGTTTCCAGCAGGTGTTGCTCCCCACCAATAGATGGAGCTTGTCTTTTTCAAAAAAAAAAATAAAAAAAAAAATAAAAATAAATCCGCTTGGGGTAGCGACCCCGCGTCTCGGATGGTGACGGCATTTAGCTTCTGCAAATCCTGGATCCACCTTAGGGACTTGTTGGCCTTTCTAAATACAAACCACCTGTTGGCGTATGGCGATGCGGTAGGCTTCGCCACAGGCGATTCCGAAGTCATAGGCGGACCCCTTGTCATTCCAACATTCATGCTCAACTGTGTGGATTCTGACTGGAAGAATCAACTTTGCATCTAGCCGCCCCTTCTGGTGGTCGTTAAAGGCGAAAGCTAAGTGGAATTCTTGGCATGCCTCCTTGATTACCCGCACCTCTTGTTCCGTCAGGAACCCTTCCACCCCTATCTTCATGGTCTGAGCTACTTCGTCCAGTATCCTATGCCCCTCGGCTGCCCTTCTTTCCTTGATTACCCGGAGGACTTCTTCCTCCTTCTCCATGGCCTCCTCCTTAGTCATTTCCAGCAGGATGGAGACTGGCTTCACCTTCTTTCCTACTGGTTTATATTTGCGAACGCTTCCTTCCGAGATCTCTTCTAAAAAATGAACCGCCGGGGTTGCTTGCGCTACTTTCGCAATTCGAGCCTGGATGCTAACCAACTCGCCGTTCAGGCAGTAACCCTTCCGAACTTCCTCCTCAAACCTGACGAGAGAGGCGGGGTCAACTTCTACCTTGTGATACCTGATTGCCTTGATTAGGTGGAGAAGATCCGGGATCTCTAGCGTTATCCTGGTGCCTTCGCCTCGGGCGTCTCCTCGCTTTGGCAGACTCGCTCCCAATTCCACCTCTGTTTCCTTTTCCACTACCATGACTCCTAGGACATCTTCATCCGGCCTCCGCTTTTTTTGTGGAAGTCCCATCTTGACCCACTCCTTCTTGCTGAACGCCTCTTCTATCATTATTTCCACCCTCTCTCTCATTCCTTCCATTCGCGCGAAAGCCCCCTTTCTAGCGCTCTCCTCGAAGGAAGGCGACCAGGTTGCCAATTTCCCTGGGCGTGTCTCCCCCAGTTCCGATGAGGCGGAGCAGCTCGCCGTGTCCTGTAACTGGGTCCTCTATGTCTACCATGTATGCCCCGTCATGGAGATGCATGCCTATCATTTCCACATTTGCACACCACGGTCTCCCAAGGATTATGTCACGGTCCATTTCGTCCATGACGGTCATCCGTTGGAACGACCATATAGACTCCCTGACCCCGGCTTTGATCGCGCACTTGGTGACATACCCGGAGAAAGGGATTTCCCCGCCAGCTCCCCGGACACTCCCGGTAGTTTCCCTGTTTATCAGGCACCCGACGATTGTCGCGAAATCCTTCCGTATGAGCATGATTTCAGCCCCCCCGTCCACTAGTGCATCCGTATGGTGGCAACCGGTCTGAACCCGTAGCTTGCCTACCGGTAAGGCGTGAAAGCTCAACTTCGTACCTTGAGGGGCCCTCATGACCTCGCCTCCTTTCCGATCCGGCAGGCTTAGCCGAATGTCTGCGAAGGCCTTTTCCAAGTCCTCTAAGTCGCCGGGAATTCTTTGGACATTTGGAACTTCTTGCGGTGTCTCTTCTTCCTTCTTTCCTTCCTGGTGCCCCGGTTCCTCCTCTACTTCGACCCTTTGCCTTGTTAACAGGTGCCTGAGTCCCTTCAGAAGTCTAGGGCTGGCTTGCAACATCGTCTGGAATGATACTGATACCATGGTCCCTAGTAGTTTACTAAGGGTGTCATCGATCTCTGGCGTGGCGAGGATGGGTATCTGGTATCGAAACTTCTTTTTTGTCATTGCTGCCTTATCGACGGGGGTCTCATCCCTAGGTTTCCCATAGGCTCTATCCTGGTCTGACTCTGTTACTCTAGGTGACATACTTGGTCCTTCTTGCGCATCCTCCATAATCGCATCCTGCACGACCTTTTTTGCGGCGGTCCGCTGCCTAGTAGTCACGTTAACCCTATCCCGTCCATCGCTTTCCATAATGAAATTGGCCTAGGGCCCTCGTCCCTGCGCCTGCCCCCACGTGAGTTCTGCCACAGGCTCAACTTCTACTACAGCAGCGTCTAGGTTGTTGAATGCGATCACGGCCCGACAAATCCCTCCTGGCGAATTCCAATTTATTCTCTCCCCCCGAGGTCCTAAAATCTCTCCGCGCAGGGTCCTGGAGCACCGCTTAAGCATGATATCATGGTTGAATCTCAGACACATCCGTACGAAGTGTCCGATCAACGTGCAATATTTGCACTGTTCGTTGGCCGGGTCCCTTTGATTATTTCCACGGTTGGCTATACCTGCTGGGGCGATTGCTTCCTGAGGCGGAAAAGGAGGCCGTACTGCCTGGCTCTGCGAAACCTGGGCCTGCATAACCAACAGGGCGTTCTCTACTCTCTCGATTTTCCCATCTACCCCATGAACGCGCTCATGCAGGCTTTCGATTCCTCTCTTTACCGTATCGCCCGTCTTGCCTGTTAGGTCTATGACCTCTCCTTCTTTTAACAGGGTCAGTGAGTCAGTTACGACCATTTTGTGCTGAAGTCAACATCCCTGGTGTTCATGAATTTTGCGGTTTGCTGAATTGCTGACAGGATTTTATCCTTATCGAACTCTGTGAACTGTCTTAGGAAGTACTTGCTCATTATTCGATCAGTAACCCCGAGGATGCACAACGCTACGGGAGTAAATTCTCTCAGGAAGTCATTGTACGTTGCGAAGTCCTTTCGTTGCACAGTGGCCAGTTCTGCTTCCGTGGTCATCTTCTCGGCTGCCAGGTATTTTCTCATCATCACGTCCCGAGCCTCCTTCCACGATCCGCTCGTGGCGACAATCGCCATTATGTCTCTCTCTAGGTTCAACGACACGTGCTGCCCCAGGTGCTCCATCTTCTCTTCCTTGCTCCACCTCAGGAGTGCCGCCAGGTTCTCATAATCTATTAGGAACTTAGTGATATTTGCTCCGTCAAAGGTCAGTTTCTTCTTAGCGCCGGCCAAGTATCCATGATTTTTGCTTAGCGCGCGGGTGAGGGATGACACAACTTTCCTAAGCCCTCCTTCGACCATTCCTGACCCTGCCGCTGATCCGGCCCCCAAATCTTCCTTGCTTGTGTTTGATCTTCCTCTCGTCCTCGCAGTCCCCTCCGGATCAAACCACCCCAGCACCCTCTCCCTCAGACTCCAGATTCCCTCGCACCCCCTGGCGATTGCTGGGGACGCTGAAGGTCGGCTGGCTCCACTATCCAAGAGAGGCGGGTTGGTAGGTCTCTCTATGGCCCTTCCAGGAGAGTCCGCTTTTTCCTTCTCTTTCCTCGTTGGGGTCCCCCTCGGATCCTTGGGCCGGTCCTTCCTCTGATGTACGTCTGCGTCCTGGCCCCCTTTCCCTTGACTTGCCTCCTCTTCCTCTCGTATCCTTCCGTCCGCCGGGTTCCTCTCGCTCTCGTTCATTATTTCTTCCAATAATTTTGCCCTAAATTCTGTCGTCCTCTTTTCCACTTTTGCCAGCCTCTTTCGCGTATCTGTCAGTCTTACCTTCTTATGTTCCGCGCCTTCCAAGTGCTGGCGTGTTGGGCTGCCTTTGTCCCTAACCTCCTTAGCCTCCTGGGTTCCACGCTTGCTTCCTCCACCCTTCCCCGAGCTTCCAGCAAGGACGATCTCCTTACTCCCTTCCCTAGCCCCTGGCGACTTTGCTGACTCCCGGTCGCCTAAGGCGTCCTCTTCTCGCTCTACATCTCCGTCTATACCCAAGTTCTCGTCGTCCTGTTGACTCCCGACACCCTCGCCCGTCGCCATTTCTTTCTTTCTCTAGCCCTATATATGGAAAAAAAAAATTTCGGCATGACAGGTAGGTCTCAGCCCTCAAGGTTCCTTGGGCCCTCAGATTCTTTCTCACCCACAATCTCCCCCTTTTCCTCCTGCCACATCATTTTCATGATTTCCTCATTTACTATGAAACCCCACTTATTCCTTCATACCGATTCTAATGGCCCTGGCTAGTGTTCTCGGTCTGCCTCTCCCCTGTTTCGAGGGCGGCGCCCTCAAGGTGGGTAGACTTTCCCMCCCCTGTGGCTGGTCTTCCTCCCTTTTTTTTTTTCACCCCCGGCATTTTCTTCGCCCCTTTTTGGTCACCGCGTCCATCCTCATCCTTCCTACCGCCCCCCCGGTCGAGAAAGAACTCTGGCCGCTGCCTTTTTGCCGGCTTATTAGCCTTATCTCTGTCGTTCCTTTCTAAAAGCCCTTATCCCTACGACCTTCCTCGGCGTTTTGCTCACACCGGCTCCTCAGGCCCGTTCCCTTCGTCTGGCTCTTTGAACATCCTTGCCACTCCCGCAAGGTAGTTCTCCCCCATCTCAATTTCCCTAACGATTATTGGCTCAAATTCCTCGAAGGATAGGTGGGGCGTCCCAAATATTAAAATCTCAATGAGCTCAAGCAGTTCACGCGCCCGGTTTCCCCAAANTATTGGCTCAAATTCCTCGAAGGATAGGTGGGGCGTCCCAAATATTAAAATCTCAATGAGCTCAAGCAGTTCACGCGCCCGGTTTCCCCAAAACGGCCCGTACCTTACTGCCACATCGTAAAACATCCCGGTCGTTTGCGGTTTGAAGTGGTGGTTCCAGACTATGGTCAAACTCACCAATTCCCTTGCCCGAGAGAGGCTTCCAAATATCAGGTCTATCATGAACCGAGGCACCCGACAGCGCAGGCCGGATGTCGGAGCCCTGAATTCTCGCCATCCCCCTACTTCTACCCGCGTCCTGAAGCCCACGTTCCTTCTCTCCCTAACTTCGTGTCCTATGCGGTTTAGTGCCCTGGCCGCTCTCTGAAAAACCGGTAGCAGCCCATGCCCCAGGGCCAATTCCGTTCCCAACATCTGCCACCCGGTCTCGGGGAAGTACAAAGTCCCGGTCACCCTGAGGTCGGTATACAGGTCATCCCCTGGCCCCCTATTAAATCTCATCCCACTCCATAGGCATTCCACCATCATGAAGGCCTGGTTTTGCACCAAGATCACTGCTCGCCATTCCACATCTATTCCCCGGACCTCGTAGCTCGCCGGGAGCAGCACTTCCCATTCGTTGCCGATTTCCAAGGACGACCGCGGGTGTGCGGGTCGTTGCGCCGTACGGACATGTCTCCTTGCCATTGCCCTGCAAGTTTCCCACACAAAAAAATAAGAAAAAAAAAATTCCCTTTTTGTTTTTTTCCATATCCTCCCCTCCCCTGTTATCACAACCATATTCTAGCTTCCTACCAATCTCCTCCTATCTTCCCTACCTCCTTCCCTGTGCTCCTATTCGTCCGCCTCCTCGAATAGTCTGTGGACATCGTCCACATAGGTCAAGCCGCAACCTATCTCGCGCCTGACCACCCCCCACAAAACTTCCTCAGCTATTGCGGGCACCTTTGGCCTGGTTGTTATGACAGCATGCAGAATTCCCAACACCTCGTATTCCTGGTCTCCTTCAAAGGGGCCCGACTCTAAGAAGGCTCGGTAATATTCTTGGCACACCGTCATGTCACGAAAACTTAGCCTACTCAAAGCTGCCACCACCTGCTCCACACGCTCCGCTCCCCCCAAGCGGCCAAGTAGGAAGGGCGACAAACTCATACGCACGTTTTCGTGGGGCAAGATGCAGGCCCCCACTTCGAGCACTCGAACGACTGCCGTCACATCGTCCCGTTCCGGATCTGCGAACGCGAATCCTTCCCTCCAGGTTACTTGCCACGCCCCGTCGAACATCCACATGGGGTCGCCGCCGGCGGCCAAAGCCACCCCGAAGGTCCTCCACCCCTCTTCGGATAGGTACAGGGACTCCGTGGCGTGTACACGCCCCGGCAGATCCGGGCTCACTCCCCCGAACTCCCCCCTTGCGCGCCATTCTAGTTCCACCACTAGGTAAATTGTATCCTCTACTAGCTCTACCCCCACCCAATCCATCACCGGGTTGTGCACCCCACCCCCGGTTGGCATGGTAATTTCCATCCTTCCTTCCGAGATCCGAGGCGGTCGAATTCCGCGGGGCCGGTCCTCCCAGAGCGTCCGTCGCCTGGCCATGTCGCGCCGCTTCCAGCTCCTGGTCCCTGGCTGCTGCATCCAACATGATTCCACGTTTCCCTTTTTAGTCCTAGAACCCCCTCTACGCCTTCCTAATTGTGTCTGTTCTACCCTTCTTCCCAACGCGTGCACGCCCTATTTTAAGATGCCCCCCCTTACCCAGACCTTCTAGTTCACACTTATACCCAAACTGGCTCAAACAGTAGAAAAACATCTTCTACGTAGAAGGGCGCCGCGACCACCTCTCGGCGGAGTATCGCCTCCTTAACCTCTCTTACGTCGAGTCGGTCGCCCCTAAGGGCCTTCAAGATCTCAACTACTTCGTCGGCGCGGTCCCTGTGGAAGGGCCCCAGTCGTAACGAGGCCTCATAATAGGCGTCTGCCAACCAGGTGAATCCCAGCTCCACTTCGTCCAAAGACTCTGCGACCGCGCGGATATGTTCATAACCCCTGAACCAATTTGCTACGAAATGCGGCACCTTCGTCTGAACCAGCTGATATGGGCGTCTAAGATTTTCCCATCCTCCCATCACGACCGTGCTCCTCACCTCATCCAATCCTTCGTTTGCAAATTCCCAACCCATTTCCCAGGTCAGTCGCTCGGCGTTCCCTAAGATCCACGTCGGGTCCCATCCCGCGGCCAGGTATACACAGAACAGGTGCCACCCCTCTCTAGACAGGTACACAGTTCCGAGTGACTCCACGTCCCCCTCAGCTATCTCGTCCCACGCCTCATTTTCCCTGATCGGATTCCACACCCTTTCTACCCACAAAAAGGACAGGGCGGTCTCAATTTCCACCCCTACGCAGTCACAGGCCGTCCCTCTCCATTCGTTCCTTGTGGGTAGGACCATCTCCACCCCTCCCCCGAGCCGCCTAGGTGTCCATCCTCTAAACATCCGTTCCCTCATGCTTTGCTCCCTTGCCATCCTTGAACCTCTGCACAGTCCCAATCCACCCACGCCATACAGCCCCAGCCCCCTTTCTTTTAGAAATCCCAATCCTCAATCTCTATCTCCTCTTCCTCCTCATCCGAGTCATCTTCGTTCTCCTCATACCATAGGTCCTGTACCCCTTCCAGGAACGTCTCCCCTATCGCGACATTCCTATATACTATCTTCCAATGCACGTCACTCGGGACGAACAGGCCGTCCGTGCTAAGATGGTTCAGTATCGTGGCCAGCTCCCTTGCCCAGTTCCCTTCAAATGGCCCCATTTCGACTGACAAGCGGAAAAAGTCCTGACGGGCCCCTTGGTACAGTCCCAGGTTGGTCATGGATCTGCATATCCGCACTAGCCTGCTCCGGGTCCCGAAGACGGCGTCTACCATCAAGGGCGGCATGACACACCTCAGGGTTCTAAAGGGCTTCCGTACATTCTCTCTATCCCCGAGTTCCACCCGCACCTCAATCTTTTCCATCACCATTTCCACCCGTTGGCACGCAGCCCACACCACTTCCCGCTCGGCCTCCTTGAACAACTTATATGGGAGTACTCCTAAGGCAAGCTCTATAATCATGACATTTTCCCTTTCCTTAGACAGGTAGACCCATCCTCGGGCCTCCACGGTTCCCCAAAACTCTAAGTCCAGCAGGCTTGACGCTAACCTTGTCAAACTAACCTTGGTCCACATTGTTTCGATCGATAGGAATGCATCACTTTCAACCCAGCATCACAGTTTGTTATGCCGGCTCCAGGTCTGTCCAAGTTCCTTCTTCCGGCATTACAACCGACACCCCACCCTTCACGTCTACCGGCATCTCTGGTCACGCTCAAGCTTTTGGCGGGGGTCATTTGTCCCACTTGGCTGAACCCCGGTAGACTTTCGAGCCTTTGTCGACTCCGCTGCAAGTCCCACTTGGCTCGACCCGCCCACGCTCAAGCTCTGGGCGGGGGTCATTTGTCTCGGGGCCACCCCCACCTAGTGCTTTGGTATGGATGGGAATGGGCCAATAGGGCGAGAGAGCTCAACATTGGGGATGTAGCTCAGCCCTTGCTTTGGGTGGTAGCCTCACTGGTCGACTGTCGCAAGCGTAGATTCTCGATTCCCCGTTGTGTTCGCAGGCAATTGCCCCTTCCAATACTCAGGCAGTCTAGGGGCTTCATTGGGAATCTCTCTTCTTTACGTGCGTAGGCTAAGCGTTATCCTTAGGCCATGCACCTTTTTCCTAACGTCCCTGATGGCCTACGGCATCGTCGGGCGAGGCCGCACGACTCTTTCGGGCCTCCGCCTAGCATGCGTCAATCCAAAGCACATCCATATCACACAAGGCTACCCCCTTTCCGGTCTTCTCCCGTCGCATACTCCTGTCCCAACCAAGCGCTCAAGTCATCCCAAGGTACTCACCTGCACAATTCCCACACAGACAACAAACAACATCCATCCCCCATTGGGGTCAACACATCGCCCTTCCCGCAAGCCTAAGTTCTTTCCTCTTCCATGGTTCTTCCACCCTTTTCCCTCCTTTCCGCAGTCAAGCCATGCTCTTTCCTTAGTCATGCAGTCGGGGGAATGGTTGAGTCAACTGACCTTGCCCAAAACTCGCACTTGTCTTCACTTTCTTTTCAATGATTCTGCTTTTCCCAAGCTTATAAGTCTTTCACTTTGCTCCTTCTCAGTGGCGCAAGGGACCGGCTGCCCTCCCCTTGCCCTCTTTCTCCACCAAGTGAGGCTGCCTCTTTTCACCGTTCGTCCCCAGGCAATGTAACAAGTGAGGGTACATTAGTCATATGTCAAGAGGAGAAGGCGGAGAGGGAAAGGGTGAGGTTACTTACGGTGCGCGCGAAGGGGGACGTCGATGGAAGGAGAAGCGGCGGGCGGCGAGAAGATACAAGGGACGAGAGAGAGAGGGGTGGAGAGAGAGAGAGAGAGAGAGGGGTGGAGAGAGAAAGAGAGAGAGCGAGGGAAAGAGAGGGAGAGAGTGAGAGGGAGAGAGGGAGAGAGAGGGAGAGAGAGGGAGGAGGGAAAGAGACACCTAGGCCTAATCAAACTTACTCCTTAATCGCTTGCCTACCCTACCCAAGACGCCCCATGCCCCTTAGTTGCCCTACTTCAAGCATGATACACGGGTGCCGGAGGGAGGTGGAGGAGGGAGAAGGTACAAGGTGCTTGGCTATGGTGGATGGGTGAAGGAGATGGAGGAGGAAGAAGGTAGAAGGTGCTCGGCTATGGTGGATGGGTGTAGGAGACGAAGGAGGATGGGGGTGGAAGGTGCTCGGCTATAGTGGACGGGTGTGGGAGACGAAGGAGGATGGAGGTGGGAGGTGCTCGGCTATGGTGGACGGGTGTGGGAGATGAAGGAGGATGGAGGTGGAAGGTGCTTGGCTATGGTGAATGAGTATGGGAGATGGAGGAGGATGGAGGTGGAAGGTGCTTGGCTATGGTGGCTGGGTGTGGGCGATGAAGGAGGAAGGAGGTGGAAGGTACTTGGCTATGGCGGGTGGGTGTGGGAGATGAAGGAGGATGGAGGTGGAAGGTGCTTGGCTATGGTGGACGGGTGTGGGACATGAAGGAGAATGGAGGCGGATGGTGCTCGGCTATGGTGGGCGGGTGTGGGAGATTAAGGAGGATGGACGTGGGAGGTGCTTTGGGTTGTCCTTTGGACATCCGGGCAAGGTGGATGGGTGTGGAAGATGATGGCGGAAGAAGACATGAGGCGGACGGCCATGGTGGATGGGTGTGGGAGATGGAGGGGGAAGAAGGTAGAAGGCGCTCGGCTATGGTGGATGGGTGTAGGAGACGAAGGAGGATGGAGGTGGAAGGTGCTTGGCTATGGTGGACGGGCGTGGGAGATGAAGGAGGATGGGGGTGGGAGGTGCTCGGCTATGGTGGACGGGTGCGGGAGATGAAGGAGGTTGGAGGTGGAAGGTGCTTGGCTATGGTGGATGAGTGTGGGAGATGAAGGAGGAAGGATGTGGAAGGTACTTGGCTATGTCGGGTGGGTGTGGGAGATGAAGGAGGATGGAGGTGAAAGGTGCTTGGCTATGGTGGACGGGTGTGGGAGATGAAGGAGGATGGAGGTGGAAGGTGCTCGACTATGGTGGACAGGTGTGGGAGATGAAGGAGGGTGGAGGTGGAAGGTGCATTGGGTTGTCCTTTGGACATCCGGGCAAGGTGGATGGGTGTGGAAGATGATGGTGGAAGAAGACATGAGGCGGCCGGCCATGGTGGGTGGGTGTGGGAGATGGAGGAGGAAGAAGGTAGAAGGCGCTTGGCTATGGCGGATGGGCGTGGGAGGTGAAGGCGGAAGAGGGTAGAGGGTGCTTGGCTATGGTGGATGGGTGCGGGAGATGGAGGAGGAAGAAGGCGGAAGGTGCTTTGGCTATGGCGGATGGGTGTGGGAGATGGAGGAGGAAGAAGGCAGAGGGCGCTTGGCTATGGTGGATGGGTGCGAGAGATGGAGGAGGAAGAAGGTGTGGGGCGCTTGGCTATGGCCGGTGGGCGAAGGAGATGAAGGAGGAAGAAGGTAGAAGGTGCTCGGCTATGGTGGATGGGTGTGGGAGATGATGGTGGAAGAAGACATGAGGCAGCCGGCCATGGTGGATGGGTGTGGGAGACGAGGGTGGAAGAAGGTGTGAGGTGTGGTGCCGTTTTAATTGCCCATACGTCCGAGAGTTCCTCCTATCTGCAGCCTACTTTCCCAGCACTATCCCCTCCGTGGACACACCGATGTCACTAAACCATACTCCGTAGGGGGTCACCGAGGTCGCAAATACCCCATCTTGCAGCCAACACAGATCTTTGCAGGAAATTTAGAAATTGCAGGAAAATACAGAATTTGCAGCAAGTACCGTTTTTTCAGAAGATTGCTGACTTTAAAGAATCGGAGCACTATTACCTATCATGCAGATGAACAGCACAAGCGTGGGTAGCCAAGATCAAAGGGGGAATGACATCACATCATTCAAAGAAGGATCGGAGCACAACTACCTAGTACGCGAGCGACAAGCACGGGTGTGGACAGTACAAACCACAAGTGAACTGCAGCGGATCATCAAGGTAAGTGTCGGAGTATCACTGCTTATGAATCAAGCACAAAAGACAAGTTTTACCACATCTACAGCCAATGTATGAGCAGCGGAGCATCAAGGTAAGTGTCGGGATACTACCGCCTACCAATCAAGCACAAAAGACAAGAACGAACAGTCCTACAGCCAAGGTTTGAGCAGCAGATCATCAAGGTAAGCCTCGGGATATCACCGCCTACCTACCTAGTGCAAAACACAAGATTGAACAGCCCTACAGCCAAGATTTGAACAGCGGAACATCAAGGTAAGTATCGGGATATCACCGCCTACCTACCTAGTGCAGAACACAAGATTGAACAGTCCTACAACCAAGATTTGAACAGCGGATCATCAAGGTAAGTATCGGGGTATCACCGCCTACCTACCTAGTGCAAAACACAAGATTGAACAGTCCTACAACCAAGATTTGAACAGTGGAACATCAAGGTAAGTATCGGGACATCACCGCCTACCTACCTAGTGCAAAACACACGATTGAACACTTCTACAGCCAAAATTTGAACAGCGGAACATCAAGGTAAGTATCGAGATATCACCGCCTACCAATCTAGTGCAAAACACAAGATTGAACAATCCTACAGCCAATGTATGAGCAACGGAGCATCAAGGTAAGGCTCGGGATATCACCGCCTACCTACCTAGTGCAAAACACAAGATCGAACAGTCCTACAACCAAGACTTGAATAGCAGAACATCAAGGTAAGTATCGGGATATCACCGCCTACCTACCTAGTGCAAAACACAAGATTGCACAATCCTACAACCAATGTATGAGCAGCGGAGCATCAAGGTAAGTGTCGGGATACTACCGCCTACCAATCAACCACAAAAGACAAGAATGAACAGTCCTACAACCAAGGTTTGATCAGCAGATCATCAAGGTAAGCCTCGGGATATCACCGCCTACCTACCTAGTGCAAAACACAAGAACAGTCCTACAACCAAGATTTGAACAGCGGAACATCAAGGTAAGTATCGGGATATCACCGCCTACCTACCTAGTGCAAAACATAAGATTGAACAGTCCTACAACCAAGATTTGAACAGCGGAACATCAAGGTAAGTATCGGGATATCACCGCCTACCTACCTAGTGCAAAACA